GTCAAATTTTATGATTGATATATTATTAGGGACCCTAAAGCTCCCCAAAAATAGGGAGAAATATTTTTTTCCCAAAAAATTAAAAAGTCATGCAGTAGAGGGATATAAACCCGTTATAACAATGTGTCATCACTAAATTATAAATTTCTTGTCCAAATCTGCACTTCTGAACAGACCTGACCACCTTATTTAATTATCCTGCTAGCGGACCGTCGTTATTACCATATTTTTTGGAAAATATGGCACACTTAAAATCAATCCTTTGATTTTTCTGAAATATAAATCTAGAAATATATATCTATAATCCCGTGTGCCTTATGTTTGAATTCTGGTTGTGTTTACTGACTGATGTTTTAGTACGACTTTGCTAAGCTACAAACCTGCACCACTTGATGGATTGTCAGAGCATTACGGCTATCGTAGGCAGGAGCCTCGCGGAGTGATAAGTACCGGCTTCAACATAATATTACCGTATTGTGTGTGTATAAGCTCTTTTTAAGTTTTGTGGATATTATACACGGTTATGCTGAGGATATGTCCACTGGAAATGCCTTTTGGTTAAACTGTCAGCAAGGAATTTGCATTTGCAATGTTACATTTTTATATAACTTTAATGCAAAAAAACAGCTGCTTGTTTAAGTGAAAATACATTGATGGGTTTTTTTGCACTAATAAAATTGTGGAGTTGTAAAGTATTTTGTCTAGTGCAGTGGTTCTTAACCTTTTTGGAGGTACCGAACCCCACCATTTTCATATGCACATTCACTGAACCCCTCTTTAGTGAAAAATAAAATAAGATTTTTTTCAAATTCAAGACATATATATGTTTTTTACTGGTGCACAAAATGAGCCGTGCATGTCACGGCGGAGGCTCTGCCGAACCCCTGAGATCGACTCACCGAACCCCTAGGGTTCGATCGAACCCAGGTTAAGAACCACTGGTCTAGTGTCAATTATATCGTCAGTTATATCGTTATTCAAATTTTCAAATGTATCTCGTGATAAATATTTTTGGTCATATCGCCCTGCTCTAGTGTGACGCGAATTTGTGGATAGGTAATGAAAGCAAAATAATTGGAGAGATACTCCCGCTGCGTTTTACTGTCTAGCATAAGTGATCTCCTGCTTTTATTTACAGAGTACAGAGCTGCTGCGGGCCGAGGACCCGATACAGCGGTGTATTTTAATTTGTCTTAACCTGGTGTAATCTGACATATTGTGGCGGCTGCGGCTGTCAATTTTGTTTGGGTTTTATTTTTCTGTATCAGTAGGCACCGCAGATATTTTCTTTTAGTGTTTTACCCTTTTTTATATATATATTGTTGCAGACAGTGAAGGTGCTGCGTGGCAACCAATCCCTTTTTTTTCTTGCTGCTTTTTGCATGCACCACGGTGAGCCTGAGTGAAGATGGCACTGAAGATTTGTCTTTTTATAGTGTTTTGCCCAGTTGGGGTTCAGTGTGAGTTGCCATCCCTTTTAACGTGTGTGATATGTTGATTTGTTTTTAACACACATCGCTTATCCTGTCTCACGGGCAATCATACAATTTTATCGTTTTTATTGTACTTAATCAAGTAAAGCTTTTAATTGTTTTCAGGTGCCGCTGTTACACCTTTACTTTTATTTTGTATTAAAATGAAACCCATTTTAACCGACTGGTATACATGTGTGACCCGTGGGTCACACAGCAGATTTAGGAAATGGCCTTGAAACACTTCATTGTATCTTGATCACAAGTAATATACATCAGATTAAGGAGAGAGAGAAATTTAGAAAATCAAAGGGACAAAGGGAAACAAATAAACAATAAATAAATATAATTGTGCTTCTTTCTTTTATTTACAAAACATGCTATTAAAAACATTGCTATTATTAGAAGGACTTCTTTGTATCACCCAAACTAAAATCCAGACATTTACATACATGGAAAATAACATACATATAACGCATATTTAAAATATATATTCTAAATAATATTAAATATTGAACTGACACAATTGTCTATGCCAACAAACAAATGACTCTTACATACTTATTCCAAGTCTGCTTCAACAATACTCTATTACCTTTTTTCATGGACTTCAGTTTAACAGTGATTTGTAAACAACTCAAATCTCGAAAAGGTTTGTGAGTCTTGCATCATATGTTTTTTTGTTTGTTTTTGTGTTATTTGGACTTCAATGAAAGGTAAAGAGAAGGAGTCCAAGCAGCAGATGGATCATTCCCAGTCTGATGGAACAAGCATCACTTTTGGTTGTGGAGGCAGTAGTTGTACTTGATCCTGCAGCTGAAGTTGTAGTTGGGGTAGTGGTTGTGATTGTAGCGGTTGTAGTTGGGGTAGTGGTTGTACTTGTAGTGGGTGTAGTTGGAGTCGTGGTTGTAATTGGTGTAGTGGTTGTAGTTGTAGCCGTGGTTGTAGTTGGTGTAGTGGTTGTAGTTGTAGCTGTGGTTGTAGTTGGGGTGACGGTTGTAGTTGTGGTGGTGGTTGTTTTTGAGGCAGATGTTGTAGTTGGGGTACTGGATGTAGCTGTAGTTGGGGCGGTCGTTATAGTTGGGGTAGTGGATGGAGTTGTAGTGGTAGTAGCCGAGGTGGTGGTTGTTGTTGAGGCGGTGGTAGTAGTTGGAATAGTTTTTGTAGTTGTAGCCGTGGTTATAGGTGGGGTGATGGTTGTCATTGTGGTGGTTGTAGTTGGGGTGGTGGTTGCTGTTGAGGCAGATGTTGTAGCTGGGGTGGTGGATGTAGCTGCAGTTGGGGCAGTGGTTGTAGTTTGGCCGGTGGTTGTAGTTGAAGTGGTGGTTGTAGTTGGTGCAGTGGTTGTTGTTGGAGCGGTGGTTGTTGTTGGGGTGGTGGTTGACGTTTGAGCGGTGGTTGTTGTTGTTGAGGTGGTGGTTGTAATTGGGGTGGTGGTTGTAGTTGGTGTAGTGGTTGTAGTTGCAATGGTAGTTGTTGTTGAGGCGGAGGTTGTAGTTGGGGTGCTTGTTGTTGAGGTGGTTGTTGTAGTTGGGATACTGGATATAGCTGTAGTTGGGGTGGTGGTTATAGTTGAGGCGGTGGTTGTAGTTGTACTGGTTGTAGTTGGGACTGTGGTTGTAGTTGTAGTGGTTGTCGTTGGAGCGGTGGTTGTCGCTGGGGTGGTGGTTGT